GTGCTCCTTCATCTCAAAGAGGGGGAGGCGTCAGCATCTGAGCTCAGCTGTGGGATGCAGGGTGAAGGGGAAGGGCTGCATCCTCTGTCCTGGGCTGGCTGGGGGGCTCACAGCCCTGGAGAGATGGGAAGGGGCCAGCAGCAGGCTCCCCCAGCCCAGCTTTCTCTACTCTCAGGACCCTGTTCTCCAAGTCCTGCTGTCCGCAGATTTACCAGGATTCCAGCACTTCCCCAGCCTGGAGGAGGCAGGTGAGGCTCTGGGCTGCCCGGGGTGTCCTCCTGGGGCTGGGGTCCCTGGGCTGCTGCTGAGCTGGGCTCTGCAAGACCAGCCCGGTAGTCTGAGCTTCGTCAGGCCCCAAAGCTGTGGTGCGGGGGCTGCATGGCTCCGGGATGGTGAGCAGGAGCCTCCCTGGAGAGCAGGGTCACCCCAGCCTCAGGGATTCATGGTGAGCCTTGGCTTAACTCTCTGTCCTGCTTCTCCCCCTTCCTCCCTCAGAGCGTTGTGCAGGAGCAGAGCCTGGGGGCGGCGGGGCAGCCCCCTTCACCAGCGAGAGCTCCCTGCTCTCCAGTGAGCCCCCACTCACGGGGCTCATCCAGTGAGTGGAGGAGCTGCCTGGGACATTCTCACAGGCAGGGTCTCCTTGCCAGCTCCTCTCCGATTGTTCCGGGGCTGTACGTCCTGCGCTGCACAGAGCAGTGTCTGTGTGTCATGGTTTAACCTCAGCTGGCAGCCAAGCACCACGCAGCCGCTCGCTCACTCCCCTGCAGTGGGATGGAGGAGAGAACTGGAATGGTGAAAGTGAGAACTCATGAGGTAAAGACAGTTTAACAGGCAAAGCAAAAGCCACACATCCCTCACCACTTCCCCTCCCCGGGACAGCAGGGCTCCATCATGCATAGCAGTTACTTGGGAATACAAATGCCTTCACTCCAAATGTCCCCCCTTCCTTCTTCTTCCCCAGTTTTATAAGAATTTTATTAGAATTATAAATATATATAATTATTATTTTATTAGCATTTATTAGAAAATTAACTCTATCCTAGCCAAACCCAGCACACTGGGACACCCTGGTGACATCTGACCAACACCCTCCCACCTGCCCCTGTCCTGCATCCTGGGTGGCTGGTGGGATGTCTGTCAGGGCTGGGACTGTCCCCACATCCCACGCAGGGGAGGGCAGAGCAAGGCCAAGGACAGACGGTCTGTGAAGGGATTAGTGGGACAAAACTGTTCCCTGTCATGGTCATCAGGAAAAAGCCATCCCTACTC